CTCTCACACACACACACACACACACACACACACACACAGAGTCTGTACTGGCGACTGGAAGGCACACTCACATTAACGAGCCTCTCAGACGAGCTGATGACGGAGTAACTAAAGCAAAAGGCGAGTGAACAGCTCAAATCTGCCATTCGTTTAATGAAACAAAAATGACCTTTAAACGAGAAGCAACAATAACAAAAACAACTAGTACAACTTTAATCTGAACTAAACAACAAACTACATTATCAAAAGGCAAACAGTCTGTATATTGCAACTCTCTCCACTAAACTACCTCATCATCATCATCATGATGCACACAATGCCACTTCCTGTCAACAGCCACCTGATTGGCTGACGGGGGCATGTGACACACTGGCATCTCACAGGAAACAATCGGCTGTCTCTGTAAAGGGAAGACATCACGCCACGGCTGGAGAGAGAACGACCCACAGCTAGTTAGTTACCAACTAACTAGTTTGGGATTTCAACCGCCGAATTAAAGTCTGCATTTGGCCAGTTATAACATGGGACATATATTATAAAAATGGCAAACTAGTGATTCTAAACATCTATGACTAAAATATAATAAACAGAATGACCCACAGCTAGTTAGTTACCAACTAACTAGATCAGATTAAAGTCTGCATTTAGCAGATTATAATATGGAATATCTATTATAAAAATGCCACTTAAATCATTCTGAACATCTATGACTAAACTATAATAAAAAAAGGTAGCCCACAGGTAGTTAATTACCAACTAACTAGTTTGGAATTTAAACAGCCAGATTAAAGTCTGCATTTGGCCAAGTAATATGGGATATATATTATAAAAATGGCAAATGAATGATTCTGAACATCTATGACTAAAATATAATAAAAAAGTAACCCATAGGTAGTTAGTTACCAACTAATTAGTTTGCCATTTAAACAGCCAGATTCAAATCTGCATATGGCCTATTACTCCGTTATAATATGGAATATTTATTACACAAATGTCAAATGAATGATTCTGAACATCTATGAGACTTCAATCTACATTAGTAATGTGAATAGTAGTATAGTATAGTATAGTTAGTATAGTACTAGTACTAGTATAGTTTCTCTCTCCAGCTGTTGACTTCCTGTTAGCAGCGATTCTCTGGAGTAAAAGCGAGCACAGCTAAACCGGACCCGATATTCCCGGAGCGGACAGACGAGCGCAGACCGAATCATGGGATTGGCTCGTCCACGCTTGGTTTCCGCGAGTCACTATTTGGCAGCGAGTGAATGAGATTGTGTTCAATTAAAGATTCATTGATTCAGTGACTCGGAATCAGAGCGGCTGTGTCTCCTGGTGAAGCGCAAGACCTCGTGGACGTTCCGGATCGTTCCGGATCCCATGATGTGATTTCAGCTCTGCGCGCGTCGTCCGATCAGGGAGCAGTTGCATATTCGTTTGCTTTAGTGCTCGTTTACTCCGAACGAATCCAGCGGCTACAGCTCACCGATTGTTTTCCTCCCGCGAGTCGGTAAAGTGCTATAAGACACGCCGCATGTGAACCGATCTCTAGAATCTAAAATAAAATTAAGGCAAATACATTTGAGAAACTGAAGCTCTGGAATTAACCTACACTAGCAATCTAGTAAAGTAGTTGAAAAACGACTAGCGTTGAACTCTCAGCGACGTTCCTGATTCAGATTTGTTCAGTCGAGCTGTGAATTGAGTCTGAGTTAAGCAGAGTTAACCGGTTAACTCAATCACACTCATCAGTAACCAGCGTCCAGGACACTCACACCATCTGTGGACCGATCACAAGCCGAGGCTTGTCATATCGTTATATTAAAAATAGTGCAATTTTAGACATTTATATAAATAACTCTAAAATCGTGTTTTTTCAGTTTTCCATGTATATATATATTTATATAGTAGCCTATATACACACACGTATATTAACGCTGAAGCGGCGTATGCTGCAGGAACAGTCTGATGCATCGGATATTGTGCAAAACTCTCATGAGGAAGTCATGCACATTTTACAGAAATGCTGCGATGAAGAATCACAAGACTCCGATTGATGTTTCTAAAAGGAAGACCGAGTGTTCTCCATCGCTCAGGGAAATGGGCTGAAAGGAAGCGGTTTTTGTTTGTTGAGTACAGAGAGAGACGAAGGCTGATGATGCACGGGGCAACTTTTTGAGCAATTTTGCCGGGCAACTTTTTTTGAGCAGTGTTGCTTGGGCACTTTCCCACTGAAAATAGGTAACACATTTCTATCTGGATACTTGGGTCCTGTGTCTCACCTGGTTGCCGTTGACAGCAACATTAACCAAAGTTGCCCGGCAACACTGCTCAAAAAGTTGGCCCATGCATCATCAGCCTAAGAGCGTTGAGGACAAATAATAACACGTAAATATTAACAGAAATTCTGAGTGAGAAAGCAACAACGGAAGAGGAAGAGAAGCCGCATCTTGTTGTGCAGCAGGAAGTTCTCGCTGGCGTTAGACGAGCTGGGCTTTGGGTTTGTCTTTGTTGCGTGTGTTTCTGCTGTCCGTGTGGCTGATGTGGATCAAACCCTGCACCAGCGGCGGTGTGGACTGGGTCTGTGCGTGCCGCGGCACTGATGTGGGGTGGTAGTAGTGTCCGATGACCTCGCTGTAGGCTGGAGGAGCGCCCTCGGCGCTGATGAGCGGACCGTCGAACACGGTGCGGTTGGGCGGCGCTCGGACCGACTCGCGGTTGAGCTCCAGCTGTTGCTCCGGGTCCCGCAGCTGAAGGGAACAGGGGCCCTGGTACGGCGGAGGCTCCTCTCCGTCTGACAGAGCGATGGTGGGGGGGAGGTCGATGATGGTGTGAGAGAGATACGGGAACGTGGGTTGGAAGCGCGACAGACGCACCCGATCCGGCGGTCGAGGAGCGTAAACCTGCTGGAGACACAGAAACAAGAGTCAAACTGGAGCCAGAAACCGCTTAGACTACAGGGGTGTGAACCTACACTGGTCTCACGGTTCGGTTATCATGTCATCGATTCGGTTCAATTCGATATCTCAATTTTACTTCACATGTAGGGATGTAACGATTAACCGTGAGCCGGTTGAAAATCGATTCAAATATGTGACGATTAAAATCAGTTGAGATGCTAAACAAATTGCGATTCAATTAGGGGCAGGAGTTTATATGAATGTATGTCTGAGGGGAACTTACTGTCTTTAGAAAATGAAACGTCCAAGCAATAATAAAAGGACACATTTCGTTTAGAATTTGTCTTAAATCTCATTTTGTAAAAAAAAAAATTGTGAATCGAATCGTGAGTTGAGTGAATCGTTACATCCCTGTTCACAATTTTGTCAATAAATACAAGCAGTCAGATATATGATCTATGTCTATCTTTTTTTTTTAATTAATATATATGTATTTTATACAGCAGTTCAATAAACAAGAATTTAATATTAAGACACTTACGTTTTAGACACAATATTGACTGCTTTTGCTCTATTTCGCCAACAAATATAATTCCAATTTGGTCTCTGAGCAACATGACGGTGATTCGTTCCTGAATGAATCAACAGTTTAAATGATTCGGTTCAGTCGCAATGACTCACTTATTAACAGTGACTTGCTGCCACCTACTGGCGGTTTTAGTATCATAGTTAAAGTATTTTCTTTTTCTTTCTTTTTTTTTTTTATAATTTCAAATATCAGTATTGAACGTTTTATGTTTAAAATATCAAAACAGTATTAAAGCATTTGTAACTGCACTCGGTCTATTACTGAACCGATACCGAATCGTCCTCGTCTGCATCGCGATGCAGATTAGACTAGTCCCCTATTAGACTAGTCTGACAAGTTAGTCATCTAATTCGAATCTATAAAGTAAGACTGATTACTACTTGGTTACTGCTAGTTGGTTAAACTAGTTCTTAAAACACAGTCTTAACATAGTTCCTATGTTCCTGATTACAGACATTTTTCATCAGAAATTAATTACGTCTGCTTGCATATCTACAAGTATGCATGCCATGCTGCGGTCTTCACTTCAACGACACGAGAATGTAAATGTATTATCCTCATGTGCATGAATTTAAGTCATGTTTATTTATTTTATTATCTGAAACACGCAGCGACTTGTTTTCCAAGGCATGCACAAAGCTGTACAGCTCGTTTCCTTGCAAATTTGACCTCTTATAGTTAAGTGTGACTTTTCTGGAGAAACGCCAGTCATCTGTGGATGAGAGTGTAGAGTATAAATAGCATCTGCACTTACATATAAGTGCAGTTATTGATGAAATGCATCATACCTCGCTCATGGCACTAGAAGAGCCGGGACCATCAGAGCACCACAGACTGCCCTCCTGCGGAAAAAGAAGAAAAGCAGAGAGAAAGACGCATTACGAAATATACAGGAACACAAACAACAGCAGCACAAACTAAGAGATGCCGGCGATGTCACACTTAGTCTCTTTCTTTCTGCTCACATAATACAATGCTTTCAGCTCAAATCAGTATGCTCAGTGATTACTTTAGTTCCTTATATTTATGTAAGGATGTGAATTATACAGTATATGTTTACAAATATCTTTATTTCTCATTTATGTCGATTTGTTTCCTACAGTTCTGTTATTCTAGAAGAGACTCTGAAAGCTTCATTTCTCAGCATGAGCCTCTCACACATTTGGCTCAGTTTCAGTCATGATTCAATTAATACATAATGCGTTCGATCATGACATATTGCAATGCGTGTCATATTGTGAGGAAGTAGATCTACATCCACTAGGTGTCAGGATTTGTTTAGTGAGTCTCTTCAGCGGCTGGTTAGGAGTTAGAGGGAAGAATTATATAGATTAATAGACACACAAGCATGAGCAAAAGTCAGAATTATGGGATGATTAATATCACACTCACACACACACACACACACACACACACTCACACACACACACACACACACACACACACACACACACACACACACACACTCACACACACTCACTGATTCACTCACTCACACACTCACACAAGTAAAATGTACAGTTACACAGTTACTCCACAGTGATGCGACGCCTGGAGTGAGACGGACATCAGCATGTGTGAATGAAGCCGTCACGGACAGTGTGTGTGTGTGTGTGTGTGTGTGTGTGTGTGTGT